GAAAGATTTGGTGTCCTGGAACTCAATGATCTCTGGGTATTCTCAGGCGGGTCATGCAAATGAAGCGCTGGACTTGTTTAGAAAAATGGAGGAGGAAGGATTTGAACCAGATGAGAGGACGTTGATGAGTGTGTTGGGTGCTTGTGCACAGTTGGGGGATTTGAGAACTGGTAGATCGCTTGAGGCGATAGCCATCAAGAAGAAGATCGAGTTAAGCACGTTCCTTGGGTCTAAATTGATCAGTATGTATGGAAAATGCGGCGAATTGGATTCGGCTAGAAGGGTTTTCAATCAAATGATCAAGAAGGATCGTATTCCTTGGAATGCTATGATCAGTGTGTAAGTCAATGCTCTACACTTAATTCATATAACTTTTTAACCTGTTGTTAAAGCTGAAGTTGGAGTATTTCTTACTGATTCTATATCAGATACTCGCAAAATGGGAGGTCAACTGAAGCTATTAAACTGTTTCGTGAGATGAAGGAAACCAGAGTTTCTCCGGATGAGGTGACATTGTCTACAGTACTGTCTGCTTGTGGTTCAGTTGGAGCTCTTGAGTTAGGCAAACAGATCGAGACATATGCTTCAGAAACAGACTTGCTACATAACATCTACGTGGCCACAGGACTAATTGACATGTATGGAAAGTGCGGCCGAATAGAGGAAGCTCTGAGAGTATTTGAAGCCATGCCAGTGAAAAATGAAGCCACTTGGAACGCTATGATAATTGCTTATGCGCATCATGGACACGCTCAAGAAGCTCTCTTGCTGTTTGATCAAATGCCAGTCCCTCCAAGTGATGTTACATTCGTCGGAGTGCTCTCTGCTTGTGTACACGCGGGTTTGGTAGATCAGGGCCGGCGATATTTCCATCAGATGAGTTCGTTGTTCGGGTTGGTCCCGAAAATTGAGCATTACACAAACATAATCGATCTCTTGTCGCGTGCGGGGTTGTTAAGCGAGGCTTGGGAGTTCATGGAGCGTTTTCCTGGGAAGCCAGACGAGACCATGCTAGGAGCGATTCTTGGAGCGTGTCATAAGATAAAAGATGTGGCGATTGGTGAGAAAGCAATGAGAATGTTGATGGAGATGGAGGAGGCAAAGAATGCAGGAAATTATGTTATCTCTTCGAATGTGTATGCTGATATGAAGATGTGGGAGAAGTGTGCAAAGATGAGAGCATTGATGAGAGACAGAGGCGTCGTTAAGACACCTGGATGTAGCTGGATTGAGCTCGACGGTGAGATCATGGAGTTTCATGCTGGAAGCAATTCTATACGGTGTGATCAGGAAAATTCAGGTTCGTTGTTCGATTTGTTGGTAGAGGAGATGAAGAGGGAAAGGAATGATGTTTTATGGGAAGTTTGATTTTTGTTATTCTTTTCAGCTGACTTTTCTGAGGGTGTAATTCTAGTGAAATTTTGAGGTAAATATGACATTTATAAGATCTGACATTTCAAAGTGGTGCAAACAGCTTGGAGCTTGAGAATCATTTGAAGTTCTTACAGAAAAATAGCTACACAAAATCCTTATGTTGGAAAACAAAAGAGGCACTGCATTGCATTGAATTCTCCATACCATCTATGGGCTTGAAATTGCAGCCATGGCAAAGATCACATCATACATAAAGTATGTCTTTTGCAGCAACAACTCGATTTCTTTGGCCTGCAATACTTTCCATTTCTCTTCCATTCTCTTCTTGGTCTCCATTGGTAGAATGCTCCATCTTTCTTTCACTGAATCTTCACTCACACCAAAACTGGCCATTGCTTCAATAAGAAAAGACTTGTCGAACCAATCCCCTTCATGAATCTTCTCACTCTTCTTTGATTCAAGAGCCATTCCATCTAAACCCCATATAACCTTGGCCAATGCAAAACATTTCCGATCGTGAGCATCAGGTAAAGTCGATCCTACACCATTGTTCCATTTTCCCATATACTTCATCTTCAAGCTCTTAACTTTTTCTGTTAACTGATGAAGACTTAGATCAATGTTGAGAGATCTCTTGACGAAATCATAAAACCCCTTTTGATCTTCGTAGAAACTCTTCCCTTTATCAAGTTTGAAATCAATCACTCCTTGCAGGATAACGATCTCGTCTTCTTCAATCAAGGTTTGAGAATAGGGCTTTTTTGTCTTTTTACCATCTGTCTTGGCTCTTTTGGCCTTCATGGGTATTGAGGTCTCTTCGAGTCTCGGTCGCTTCGTCCTCCGTGAACCTGAAGGAGCTGACGGTTGAGCCACGACGGTCTCGGTTTCAGAGTCCGATCCAGAATCTGAATCGGCGGAAACGAAAGGTTTAATCGTGGAAGAGAGATTTTAGCAGAAGATGAAAGAGTTTGCGGTTCCTTACCGGAGGAAATTTCGATGACATTATTGGCTTTGTCTTCTTCGGGCGAAGAGTCGGGTTTTTGTTCTTCTTCTTCTACCTCCGTCTCCACTTCGTCATCGTCGCTTGAAGAAGCCATCGGTGGATCTTCCGACGGCTGGAAATGGTTCTTCGCCATCGGAATTTTTCGAGAAAGCGATTTGGGTTCTCACTTCTCAGTGTGGTGAACGAGAGAGAGGGAGAGACGATTGAGAGAAAAAGCTTTACAACCAAAACACCCTTGGGAATGTAAATGGTTATATTAGTAGCTTTTACCCAAGCGGTATAAAATTATTCTTCATAAAAAACAATATTCCATTCAAAAAGCTATCAAAACGTTGTATTTGAGTTGGTTTATTGATTGATTTGAAAATTTATGATTACATTATTTGAAAAAAAAAAAATTACCATCTATCTTTTTTTTATATAAAATTCAAAATTATATAATACATAAAAAAATTACACAATTAATTATATAATTAATTTTTTTTTAAATGAATTTATATTTAATAATTGTTTGGGCAAAATTTAACCAGTTCATATGTTAACAGTTCTACGGAATAATAGAAGAAAATATATTTTTTACTAGTGATTGTCCACGCGTTGCGTGAGATTTAAAGTTAACATGGTAAAATATGCAATAATTTATAATGTATTGATTATTTGTGTATTTAATATCATATAAATTGAATGTTAGAAAACTAACCATTTGCACCAAATTGTTGTATAAATACAGTGTAATAGGCAAAAAAGAGAAAAGACTGTTACAACATAAAAAAACATCTTTGTTGACACAAATCCTTAACTTGTATGTATTTATCTATATTCACNACGNTTTNCTAAAACAACGATTGTAAANATCTATTGATTAGANATATTATAGTATATTTTGNTTCTATAGAGACATNTGCATATCTTCAACAAAAATGTTGGAATGCATCTTTCTGTTTATTTCATTAGAATCTTGAATCATAATGAGAGAATAATTGATGCTTGATTGTATTTGTATATCACTTTATTTGTCGATTTGCTGTGATATTTATCTTTCACATTGATTTATTGGTAAAATGATTCTTTTTCTAGATTTACAATTTGTGGTGGAGTAAGGTTTTCTTTCGAACATCTTGGTTAGAAGAGTTATTTTGTCCAACGCAACTTTTTTTTAATTGTATTAGGAAGTGATTGGTAATTTGGTTTTAAAAACTATGAAAACATTTAATAAAACGTTATGCATCTTAAAACTTTTTTTTTTAAATATCGCATATCATCTTTTTTTTTGTTTTCATGTTATGCATTTTTATTAAAACTTATCTTCTGTGATTTTTGTTTTAAAATCAGAGTCACCTATATAAAAGCCAAAGTTTTAACTTTTAAACATGTTTTTGTATAGTATACTGTTTAATTTGGTAAATGAA